ACCAAACCAAAGCCCAGCCCCTGACATGTTTGCCAGGTCATTTCAGGAGTAGCTGCCCTGAGCAGGAGGAGGAAAAGACCTTCCCCAATGCCTGGCAGAGCACCTTTCTCTGTGCTTTGGCACAGTTCGGGTCTGCAGCAGCCCTGCAGCACAACCCAACTACCCCACTCCCTTCTTCTCTTGGAAGGGCCTGAGCATCCCCTCTCTGGACAGCAGAGCAAGATCCACATGTCCATCCTCCTCTTACTGGCCATGAGAGCCTCTAGCAAGACTTCACCAAGTCAAGTGACAGCTACTTCCTCCCTGGGGATGACTTACAGCACGAAGTACTCTGCAACATGCTCAGAGTGGAGCATGCACATCCCTGGCTGCTCCTCCTCTCCCAACACAGCCAGGGATAGGGAGCAGCCTCAAGACCAGAGGGATGGAAACCCACAGGTTTCTTCTTCCCAGCCAGGGAGCCTCCCTGCCGCCTACCTGACTCCAGCCCTGAAAGACAAGCTCCATCTCTGACAGCTCTGCACCGCTCCAGGGAAGGGATAAGCACTCACACCCCGTTTGTCACACTTGGAATCAAATCAGACAGACAGAACTCCACTCCACTTGTCCTCCCATTTTGTTAAACAAGGGATGGGAGGCCGGGGCATGTCTCCTCGCCAAGGAAAGCAGCAAACAGTTTTTCAGCTGAGCACAAGTGGTGTGCGGGCGGGGGGAGCGGCTCACTGCAGCGACGAGAGACACAAACCCATCTCGTGATTAGTTATGGACTCCAGAGGAGTTGGAGCTCTAGCAGCAAGCCAGCCAAGAGAGCAAAAATCCCTCTTTTGTTCTCCAGCCTCAGACAGACTTGGCCACACAGCTCCCTGCTGTCTCTGTTCACACAATGAGAAAAGAAAGTTAATCCAGCTCCCCTTCAGCAGGAGCCATCCAGCCTGTGGGAGTGATGCTGCAGAGCCATCCGTGAGCATTCCTGTGCAGCAGTGCCAGCCTGGCCTCATCCTGGCATCCATCATTGCTGGTGGATACCAGACAGCTCTGCTACCTCAGGGGACATTGCCACGATCACCAAGGACAGTGATGGTGCTGCTCCTGCCCTCCAAACCCCCAGGCCTTGCTCAGCTCTGAAGGCACCATGCTCCCTCTCCACACTGCACCCCAAAGGAGAGACCAGCCATGGGGTCCCTGCTGCCCCAATGGTGAGCAAACGACCCATGCTGCCAACACAGGAATTTCCAAGCCTACTTTACAGGCAAACTTGTGACTTAGGAGGGAGCCAGACCACTATGCAGGGACTGAATCCACCTTTTCCCCAGCATTTTCCCAAGCCACAGCCTTCCTGCAGGAACAATGTTTTCCACTGTACCAGAGGTCAAGTGGTAGGAGAATCGTGGCCAACAGAGTCCTTTGGTGTCACCCTTTCCCCTCAGGAAGGGCACAGGTTACACAGATGTCAGAACCACCAAGCCCAAACTTCTCCCTACTGCCTTTCCAGGGAACAGAAGTTACCTTTTAGTTTGGACACATGACCCAGGATTTCAGAGCCCTGCTCTTCATCCCCCTTCATCACCAGCTTTCTCTCTTCTCTATATGAGAAGTGAGAATATTTACTACGTTTCAGATCAGAGAAGAAAATTATGATTCACGGGCTTTCCACTGTGCAGAAACAGGAATTATGTATCTGTATTTCTAGAGCATGAACAAACACGGGTACTTGTGTCTGGAGCTTTGTAGTTCAAGGGAGTGATTTTAAAGTCAAGTCATCCCTGCATAAACCTGGACAGCCAAATAACAGAGTGGAGAATAGCAAAGTGCTGAAATCTGTTCCGGAAAGCACTTGCTGTTTCTTTACTCTCAGTGACCTGGCAGAGAGGGCTGTTATTTTAACATTACACTTGTTCAGTGAAGCCTCACTGAACGGCAGGCGAGACCAAAATAATCTACATGGCCCCTGGAAGCCACAGAGTTGAGAGGAAAGTGCTCCAACATCTCCAGGCAGCACAAGCCTTTGTTCCCACATGCTCCTGCTGGCAACCAGGACTGCCTGCCCCGCTCTGAATGAAGTGGCTTCCCTCCTCCTTCCCCACAAATTAACTCCATCTCCAGCTGTCCCTTTGCAAGCTTCCTGTAAGATTAATTATTCTTTGTACACACACGTTTGATGATTTACCCAGCAAACCAGGCACAATGATTAGGAATTCTCCATTTCCATCAGCGCTCTCCCCTGAGGCTCAGAAGTTTTCTGGGCAGGTCCTTCACCCTGGCACAGGCACAGGAAGAAGTGTGGCTCCTCAGTAGGTCACCAAGGAGCAGTCAGTATTTGTGATGCTGCTGCAAGGTCAGCTGAAGCTGATGCACTCCTGAACAGCCCTCACTGCCAGTCAGCACTGACGCCAGTCTAAGTGGGAACAATTTATGATCCCAAAAGGTGTGTCCTCAGCCACGCTGACCCCAAGATTTCTCCTGTGTTTAGCAAGGCACAACAAGCTCTGTTTGTTTGCACTGTCACCTTTCAGAAGGTGTAATTTTCAAGAGCCAGAAGTTAGTGTGTGAAGAGTCACTACAGGCTGGTTCCGGCTGTGATCTCACACACCACAGCACCGAGAACTCACAGCACTGGACTCGCCCGGCTCAGGAAATAGAAAGCACCCAATCGTGGTGCTGTGAGCCAGACCTGCCAGGGGTGAGGACTTTCTGTCTTCTCCTGGAAGAAGTTTATTAGCCTGCAAAGTCATAGTTTGCAACAGAAGGTGTGTGGGGGGGGTATATACAATATGAGTTGATGCCACCCAGCTCTCCCCACAGCCCAGCAGGAAGCCAGAGCATGTCAAGTTGTCTGATCCCTCCAGTGCTGAGCCCACACAGCTCAACAGGGCTCACAGGGTCTCTTTCAGCAGGTAGCCACCTGCTATTACACCAAAAGGATGTTTCAGCAGCTACATGAGCCTCTTCCTCTGAGGGTGAGACATTTCCTTCATCCAGAAAGAAGGAGAGGGTGCCCAAAAGATCAAGTATGGAGGGTTTAAGCACCAGAGATCATGAGATACAAAGCAGGAGGGAGAACACAGCAAAGAGTCACCTTATGCTTGGTAGAAGTTGGTTTCACATCCAAATGTGATTTAACTGGGTGAGTTCTGACACCAGAAACAGAAAGTTTCTACCCCAGCTCATGAAGGCACTGTACAGGAAACTCAGCCTAAAAGAACTGCTCAGGTGACCTCAGCACAGCAGAAGCATCAATCACATGGAGTCCACCTCAGATTTTGGCTCGATGCTGCTGCCAGCTTTCCTAGTGCTCAGCTGACCCAGCACTTTCCAAAATCCCTGCACTAGCCCCAACCACCACAAATCCCACAGCAAAACCTGACCTGAGTTCAGGACCTGTATTTAACACCATACCCTGATGCTTCTCAGAATCAAAGCAATAAGAAAGCAGAAAGAAGAGACAAAACAGACACCTTCCTCTTCCCTACAACACCACCAGGAAGCAAAGGAGAGCTGGTGTAGAGCAGAACGTGGCAGGTCCTCTCCAAATGGGAGCTGTAGAGGCAGCAGCAAGGTGTAACTTTGGCCAGCTGGCAGCACAAGGGGCCAGCACACCAAACCCTCCAAGGCCAAACTCTTGTCCCTCCCAAGAAGCACCTTCAGGAAAGGGTGGAAGTCAACGGGATGGGCCAAGGAGGGAAGTCAGCCAGACTTCATTAAGAACATCTTTGCTGGAAGAAGTGCATCTGGGAGTACTCTCCAAGGAGATAAACGCTGGATCTGTTTTGCTCTGACAGGAGTTAAACAGGCTACAAGTTTACACTTGTCCTAGATACTTCTTTCCACAAGAAGCTTCCAAAAGCTATTGCAGGCAACTGGGAGAGGTGCTCGCAAAAGCAAGGCAGAGGCAAGCATAGACACCATCATCCAGGCTGACAGCTCTTGAACAGAGACGTCACATTTTACATTACTTGGTCTTTTTTCCCCCCCTCCAATAATTCGTTACAAAGGAAGCAGCGTGCACACAGGAGAAACAAGCAAGACCTCAGGGAAAACAGCAAATCGGTTCACATTTCCACAGCACTGAGCACAAAGCTGACTTGCAAATGCGAATGACTTCTGTAAGGCGGGGGAGGAAGCTCCCAGTTTGGATGATCCAAGCCCAGCAGCTCATTTCCCTGCATTCCAGCCCCATCCCTCTGTTCTGACGGACTGCACCAGCCACGGGCATGGCCTGAGCCTCGTGTGGAGCAACAACCACCCCGCAGCCCAACACCTCCTGCTCCAGACCACTGCTGCCCAGCGGGCACTCTCTGCCCTGGCACACACAGCACCTCGTACACATCTCGGACATTTCCCACACTAGTAGAGCTACAACTCGAACGCTCGAGTTCATTCGAGATGTTACAGCACGGCTGCTCGCTGCGGACGATAGGTGGGCACCACTCCTGCCAGGACACAGCATCGCCCATCTCCTCCTCCTGTCGAGGCAGGGCTGCTGCCCACCGGGACACGGCATCGCCCACCTCCTCCCATCGCCCTGCCCGAACACATTCGGGCTCCGTCCGACCCAGGGGCACCAGGCTCCTGCGATGGGAAGCCGCAGGACTCCGGGGAAGCAGAACGAGGCGGGCGAGCTCCTCCACCACCTCCTCCCGCTGCCACCCTGGGCCCCCGCCAGCTCCGGAGGCTGCTGTGGCACAGCCCCGCGCTGGGTTGTTTAGGGAAGGGGGTTGGGAGGATGTTTGCTTATTTATGGGATGGGAGCAAAAAGTAAGAGGAGGAGGAAATAATCCAGCAGGTTGCTCCCATCAGCCCCTCCCGGCCGCCGCATGGCAGCGGGGGCAGCTGCGATGGGGCAGCCCCCGAGCCGCCGGTCCCCGGAGCCGGGGAAGGGAACCCGGCCGCTCCCCAGCACCATCCCCACGGCCAGGGCAGACCGCGAACCCCTCCCTGGAATATCCGCCCTGCCGTGTGGCCCCGCGGGCACAGCAGGGCACGGCAGGCCGCGGACTCACCTCGGTACTGCAGCGAACCCGAGAGCCGCACGGTGACGGTGCCGGCCAGCGGCTCGCCGGGGCTGTAGACGACGCGGCTGTCGCCCAGGCGGATCTCGAAGAGCTGCACCTTCCCCATGGCCGCGCCGGCCCGGCCGCTCTCCCCCACTCCGCTCGCCGGCTCCGCTCGTACCTGCGGCCCGGCCCGCGCTGTGCCTGCCCCGGCGGGCGGGACCCGCCCCGAGCCCGCCCCGCCCCGCCCCGCCCCGGCCGCGCTGAGGGAGCGGGGCGGGCCTGAGGCGCGGGGCAGCGGCCGCGGCGCCCGGGCTGCGAGCAGGGGGCTGCTGGTGGGACCCTGAGGGCCGAGGGAAGGGGCCAGTTGTGCGGCCAGGCTGAGGGGAAGGAGCAGGTTATGGGGCTGGGCTGTGAGGGAAGGGGTAGCCGATGGATCCCTCGCTGATAAAAGGGTCAGGTTATGAAGCAAGGGGAAGTTGATGTATCCCTGACTACTGTAAGGATGGAGCTGTTTGTGGGGCTGGGCTGTGGAGGAAAGGGCCGCTCCAGGGGTTCGGCTGTGCTGGGAGGGAAGGAGCAGATTGTGGGGCTGGGCTGTGAGGGAAGGGGAAGCTGATGGCTCCCTGACTGCTGTGAGGTAAGGAGCAGGTTGTGGGGTCGGGCTGTGAGGGAAGGAACTGACTGCCCAGCATGGGGCCATCTCGCCTCCTGGTGATCCCTGCTCCCTCTAATCTCATTTCCTCCCTGTAATTCTCCAGGCCCAGCTGTCACCTCTCCCTGCTCCTGTTTTTATAACCCCAGTCACTTTAAGTGTCCAGTAAGAGGCAAATACAAGGGGCCTGACAGCCACCTGGGACTGGGGCTGAGCAATGAACCTGCACTTTCTGTGGATCAGTGGGTGAAGGTCAGGGTGTCCCAGGAAGCCAGGGATGACCAACAACCTTCATACCTTTGCCATGTTCCTCCCCTCATCTCTGCCTGATTAAATAAAAACAGTCTGTAAAACCCACACCAAAGGCAGCACCAGGAAAAGGCACCTCCCGGCCGCTGGAGAGCAGGCTGTGTACACAGGCAGAATGAATAAATGTAAAAGGAGCTGTTTATCTGCAGAGCACACCCAGCCCGGACCTGGCTGGACAGACAGATGTCCTCCCACGGCCCCGCAGTGACACCATCGTGGGCTTGTGGGGCTGTGGGACCCTCCGTGATGCCTCATGGTGGTGTGGCAACCTGAAACCCCTCACAGGGCAGCAAAGGAGCTCTGGGCACACAGGGCTCCTGCTGGGAAGCTTTTCCAGGCCCTCCCTCCTCCGGTGTTTAAGCTCTTGTTTCCAGGCTGCGTGTAGTCACAGGCTACAGACACTCAACAATTTTGTGCCAAGGCTTTCTGCAGCTCATCTGCTCCCGCAGGGCGTACCCTGGGATCTGTCCACACACCGCTCTCCTTGTGCTGCCCTTAGCTTTTGTTTTCCCAGGCTAGCACGCCAATTTGCTCCAGCCTTTTTATTTTGTAAGACGAGCCTGCATGCAGCCTCTTTCATCAGTCTCTGCAGCCCCTATTTAGCGCTGCCAGCAAAACCAAACAAATTAGAAGGGGAGGGGGGGTGGGTGAAAACACCCTGAGCTACAGCAGATTTTACTGAAGCCTCTTCCCCCATGGAAAGTGGCCAAAGGCTCATGGTTTGAGGCACAACTGGGGCCACCCCATCTCTGGGGCAGCACTGGCACCCTTGCCCCAGAGGGACATCACACATGTGACAACTCAGGGTGCAAAAACCCTTCACCAAACCCGAGCCCCTCATGCCATGCCGCAGCTTCTCCTGACACAGAGATTTATGCGCCTTGTTTGCAGAGAAGTTAATTTTAAGCACAGCAAAGTTGCTCGCCCAAGGTCATGACGTGAGTTAAAAGGTTTCCTGCACCAGGAGCTGAACAAAAGCACCCAGCCACAGCTACAGTACTGCAAGGATTTGTGCTGAGATACACAGAGTCCCTTGTCATGTCATGGCCAGCAGCGATGCCACAGCACTGATCCATCCCCTGGATCACAGCTACAGTGTGTAGAGCAGTCTGTAAAATGTAACTAGGTGGATATAATTGGAGCATGGAGAAGAGAAGGCTTCAGTGAGACCCCATTACAGCCTTCCAGCACCTTAAGAAAGCTTTAAAAATGGAAGGAAAGGGACTTTTTATATGGGCAGACAGTGACAAGACAAGGGGCAGTGATTTTAAACTGACAGAGAACAGGGTTAGATTGGATGTTAGGAAGAAAAATCTTTACTTAGAGGTGAGGCCCTGGCACAGGGTGCCCAGAGAAGCTGTGGCTGTCCCTGGATCCCTGGGAGTGTCCAAGGCCAGGCTGGAGAGGACTTGGAGCATCCTAGGATAGTGGAAGGTGTCCCTGCCCTTGGCAGGGGATGGGATGATCTCTAAGTTCCCAAAGCAGTCTGTGATTCTGTAATTCAATGTATTCAATGTCTGCAGTGCCACAGCATCCATCATTCCCCCGGTGATGCCAGATTCAGAAGGATTTTACTCATTGCAGTCAAAACGTGTATTTACATTCCTGCCTCCCTGCTCACCTACCCATGCCCCAGAGTCATTCCTCTTATCTACTTGTGTGAGGAGTCATTGGAATTAAAACTCAGAGTAGTTTTTAAAAAAAAGTAAACTAAGGATATTTGGTAAACTGCAACAATTTGTTTTCTGATAATTTTGACTACTGTTTTGCTTTGCTTTTTAAAAATTGTTTTGAAGAGTTTTGTTGTGGTGGTGGGAAATCTCACTTCCTCTGCAATCTGTGTTCTCCCTCATTTCCGTCTTATTTAAAGGGAAATTTAAAGAGAGAAGAAAAACAAATGTCAAGACAAGCTTTAGAATAAAATTTTCCTTTCAGATGTCACCACATTCCCCTAACTTCAAGGAACATGAAATTTTCTGACAAAGAACATAGTAGTTATTAAAAGGAAAAAAATTATGAATAAACTCCCCCCTCAGCAGCACCTGAGCCATGCTTTGCCAGCAGCACGGACGAGCTTCAAGCCCAGGTGCTGTGAGAGCAGCTGAGAGTGGTGTCACATGTGGGTAAAATGTGCCCACGGAGGGCTCAGCTGTGGCTGCAAGTGACACACACAAGACTCCACCATTGAGTCACAGACATTGCTTGTGGCTTGAATTTGTTCCCCTCTTATCTTTCCAGGAGTTTCCAGCTGTGCGTGCTGACACGGAGGAGGCACAGCCCCATCTGACCGTGCCTCAGTTTCCCTGCGCTGGGACTGCTCAGGGAGAGGCACCGCGGAAATGCCTGGGCATACCTGGGCCGTGACGGATGCCGGGTTAATGATGGAGCACGGCTGGGTGAGGCACAGCACGGTACCCCGGGGGCAGTTTGTATCTCACGAGGTCATTTCCACCTCTGACACTCCGGGGTTTGTGGCTGCAGGGGAGAGGGGCGAGCCTGGCAGGTGGTACCCGGCACCGTGGGGACACCCAGAGCCTCTCCTGCCCTCTTGTTATGAGATGAATCTATCTCTCTACCCTCGAATTCTCTTGCTTTTGCGTTTCCAACCTCTCCTTCTGGGGTTGGCAAGGGTGTGACTTGCGTGAGCCCACCACATGCCGTAAGGGAGGCACCGGAGTGGCTGTGATGGAGGGGGAAGTAAAGCAGCAGAGCTTTGTGGAAGTTGGCCTTTAGGTTTCTTAAATTTCCCTTGACCTAAAATACACAGATGTGAATCTGTGCTACCTACACCACTGACAGCCATTCTGTATTCCTGTGTACATAAAATCCATTACCCTGATATATTTATATTACACTTGGGTTTATTACCTTTCTAAATAATTTCCCTGCTTCACTCAGTGCCTCACCGCTTCTCAGCTGATTTGCTGGCGGGTAAACTACGTCACCTGATACCAACAGCAACAACAATTACTCATTCGTTTCAGGCTGACACCTTCCAGCAGTTCAGGCAGAGGTGGTACCATTCAGCCACACCTCCCTGCACACCACCTCTCTCCTAGCAGGAGGCCACAGCCAAAGTCCCCGGTCCTCCTTCTGTGGGTTCATCTGCGAGGCAGCTCCCAGGCAGCTTCCCCAAGGGTAGTGTTGGAACTGGATGTCCCACCAGTGGTGTACAAATCTCTGGGATTAATATGTGATACAATTACAGACTGGTTTGGAGGAACCTTAAAGACCATCTCATTCCTCCCACTGCCATGTGCAGGGACACTTTCCTCCAGACCAAGTTGCTCCAAGCTCTGTTCAACCTGGCCTTGGACACTTGCAGAGATGGGGCAGCCACAGCTCCTCTGGGCAACTCTGGCACAATGTCCCAGGACTCTGCAGCAGCTCCCCACTGCTCCTGGAACTCCACCTGCCTATCGGTCTCACCAAACCTCCCAGACACAAGGGTCACCAGCCCCAGCACAACCCAACCCTTGGGAGGGTGAGAAGAGAGCAGGAAGCGTTCAGAAACCACCCACAGCACAGAACCAGGAGGTGCCACTGCTCAGGGGCTCTGCAGGGAGGCCAGGCAGCTGCTTTGGGCTCCATCCCACAGATACTTCACCATCCTGTACCCCGAGACCGTGCTCCAGGCTTCACTCAAAAAGTGAGAAAGAGACTGAAATGTGAGGGGCTCTAACAGCATAACAAATATGGAGAAGAGAAGGCTTCAGGGATACCCCATTACAACCTTCCAGTACCTTAAGTAGGCTTTAAAAATGGAAGGAAAGGGACTTTTTATGTGGGTAGATAGTTACAAGACAAGGGGCAGTGGCTTACATTGGCTTACCCTCACACTGAGTGCTTGATTATGGGGTAACTTGTCTGACATCACCAAAGGGACTGCCTTTCACCAGTTAAGAGAAACCCTGCCATGCTCCCCAGCATGCACACCTGCTCTTCAGACCAGCTTTGGCCCTTGCTTCTTGTTCCGCTGTTCTTTGATGTTAAACGGTCCTTTGGTGCCACATCCTCTCTCCTTGTGATGGTGTTTACACATCAGAATAAAGACACCTCTCAATGTCTGTGGTAAACAGCAATGTGAGCTCTTCAAGCCTCTCCCTGTAAAGCATTTTCTCCAGCCCCCATGTCATTTTGCTGGCTTGTGTCTGTGCAAGCCC